CCGGGCTGGGGATTCAAACCCGCCACCTTAGGTGTACGTGGCTGGCGCCTTAGCCGGTTGAGCTATAGGCGCCGAGACTGTATTAGTGTTTAGAACAGATGAATAACAGAATGGGAGAAGATAATTCCAGAAAGATTAAGTGATAAATTTCTCCCAAATGATGAAAAATTCTTTACATGTTCAAGAAGCCCAATAAGCCCACAAGGTCTTCACGGGCAGCAACTGTGGCTCAGTGGATAGGGTGCCTGCCCCATATACTGAGAGTGGCAGGTTCGAACCTGGCCCTGGCTGAACTGCAACAAAAAAATAGCCGGGTGTTGTGGCGGGCACCTGTAGTCCCAGCTACTTGGGAGGCTGAGGCAAGAGAATTGCCTAAGCCCAAGAGCTGGAGATTGCTGTGAGCTGTGATGCCACGGTACTCTACCAAGGGTGACAAAGTGAGACTCTTTGTCTCAAAAAAAAAAAAAAGAAAGTCTTCACATAGACACATCATTCATAGTAAGACTGGAGAAAACAAAATATTAAGTCAAACTTTTAAAATCAGCCACAAACAAAAATTACTTTTTGTGGTGGTCACAAGAATGTACCTCATAGCTCTTCTGTAGGGAGCTTAACTGAATAAGTGTCTCAGCTGCTGTGCTCTGAAATCCATCACTGCATGTGTATGGAAGCCACACGTGACCTCTCATGACCCATGCTCTTATATAGCTCTCTCTTTCTGGTTGTGGTCAAGACCTGTAGCTTGCTTCTAAATAATAGAATACAGCAAAGGTGAAGAGATTTGCATATGTAATTAAAGCATCATTATATCAGCTGACTTTAAATTAATCAAAAGTAGATTATACTACTTAGACTCGACCTAATCATGTAAGCCCTTTAAAAAAAAATTCTAGGTTCAGCACCTGCGGCTCAAGCAGCTAAGGAGCCAGCCACATACACCTGAGCTGGTGGGTTCGAATCCAGCCTGGGCGGCCAAACAACAATGATGGCTTCGAACGAAAAAATAGCCAGGTGTTGTGGCGGGCGTCTATAGCCCAGCTAGTTGGGAGGCAGAGGCAGGAGACTCGCTTGAGCCCAGGAGTTGGAGGTTGCTGTGAACTGTGATGCCCCAGTACTCTACCCAGGGTGACAGCTTGAGGCTCTGTCTCAAAAAAAAAAAAAAAATTTCTACTGTTGATCTTGAGAAAGTAAGTTGCTGTGTGGTGAGAAGGCCTTTGAGAGACCTTATGAGAGAGGCACAAGGCAACTAATTGTGGACAGACTCTTGGAGCTGAGAGTAGCCCTTGCTGACAACCAGCAAGTAAATAGGGCCTCAGTGCTAGAACCACAAGGAATTGAATTCTGCCAACAACCATGTGAGCTTGGAATAGGACCCTAAGATTCAGAAAAGAACACAGCCTAGACAATGTCTTCCTTGCAGTCTTGTAAGATTGTAAGCAGAGGACCTACCCCAGCTATACCTGGACTCTGATCCCACAGAAACCGTGAGATAATAAATATGTGTTGTTTTAAGCCACTAAGTTTATGGTAATTTTTTATGCAGCGGTAGGAAATTGAAACACTATGCCTCCATAGATGCTTCTAGGCAATGACAGAATATTGCAGGAATACTAATGTAGATTTGTTCTTTTTTTGGCCAACTCAAGGACTCCCGACAGACTTGCTGAAACTTTTTTTTTTTTTGAGACAGAGCCTCAAGCTGTCGCACTG